TTGAGCCCAGCGAGGAGCTGCGCCTCGGCCTCGTCCAGCTCCTCAGCCTCCTGCTGCAGCGCTGCGGGGCCTCCGTGGTCCCCTACCTCACCGATGTCATCCGCATCCTCCAGGCCACTCTCCTCGACCACTATGCCGAGGTCAGGCGTGAAAGTTGCAGGTGCGCCGTGGCCTGCAGCCAGGCCATGCCAGGTGGGGCCTGGGGATGGGCAGAGGGGGGAGCGGTGGGCTGGTGTGAGCCTGCGGTCTCCTGGGGGGACGGGGGCTGAGGTAGGAACTGGCAGGAGGTTACAGGGATGCAGCCAGAAGAGAGGAGGAGAGATGAGAAGTTGCACACACCCTCAGAGATGTGCTTTGCGGGCCTTGGAAGATCTCTTGGAGAAGAACCATGCTGGGGTGGATGCTGAGCAGTTACAGCATGGGAGTGATAGTGGGAGGCGGGGGCTAGGGAAGTGCACATGTGCTACCGTTCAGCTAATATACTCTAAAGTTAAATCTACATGCTACTTAAATCCAGTGACATTAATTAAGGTGCTGCTCGTAGCGTTACAGAAATCATGTCGCTCAAGATCTGTCACCCACAAAGAGAATGGCATGTTTGAAGTTTCTGTCTCTCTGCCCTAACAGAGCACTTCCATATGCAGTCAGAATCTCTGGTAAAACCCTTAATGCAAACAATCTCACACCAGCACTACAGAGTTCGTGTTGATGTAATTCAGGCTACTGGAGCAGTGATACAGTATGGAAATGGAAAGTCTGTGGATGATGTTCTGTCTCATCTGGCCCAGAGATTATTTGATGAGATTCCCAAGGTGAGTTTTTTTTCCTGGATTTATTTTAAATCTGTTTTGGGGTGAGTTTTTTTGGTGTTTCTCCATCTCCCCCCTCCCTGCCTCCCCCTCCCCAATTTTCAGCTTTCATTCATTCAATTGAGATACATAAATGTCACATACGAGCTGTGTCAGTTGTAAGCTATCCAAACCCAAGATTGGTGACCTATTCATCTGCCATCTAATTCTACAGGCTGTTGAAGTTTGTAGGCACCTTTTTATTTTAATGGATGCGTTCAATTCTGTCTTAAATTCTTCTGTCAGATCTCTCTGGGACTTGATTCTGTGGCCTTTTCAGACGCTTAACAAACACTTACGGTATTGGTCCCTTCATAAGATGCAATTGAGGCAGTAATTTTAAAATGTGCAACTTAATCATAACAAAAATATTTTAATTTTAAAGTGGATATATTAACATTCTTTAACTTAGGCTCCTTTATAGTGAACAGAGAAAATTGTCTGCTGGAGATGTGCTTGGAAAGCTTCAAATTCCAGAGAAATGCACATTTCTAACATTCTCAGAGAGGTATTAACTGTGAGAATTTGAAGTTTTCTCAGTAAGATCTGTATCTTGTCTTCCTCTTGGAGATGTGCTTTTGTGCAGCAAATAGTCTAAGACTAACTAAGCCAGAGTGAGAACACAAGAGGGAGCACCTTACTTAAGGTGCTTGCTACAAGTGAGGAAATCCTGGGTTCTTGTAATTTCTTCTGAGACTATTGATGCACTTTACCGAGTCTTATGTACCGAAAGCAAATATTTTTTAATTTTTCTGGTGTTTTCCTGACATGTCTAAAATAGTCTTTTTGTATCCATGTAGGTTCGACACGCTGTAACAACTGTCGTTGGAGAATGGTTGTTGCACCTACGAGACAGATATTCATATTTTCACAAGTTGATCCCTTTGTTACTTGGCAGCTTTAGTGATGAAATTCCTGAAAATACGTAAGCAGAACATTTTTTTTTTAAAATTTTTTTCCCCCCTAAATAGTAGTTGTACATGGGAATGTTTCTCTGTTCACAGATGTATTGATTGGAGGAAAAAGAAACAGCTTTTTTTTTTCCTTAAGCGCAAAATGATAACATTATCTTCAGTAACTTTTGTTATATTGTCCTTTTTTGCTACATTCAAGTAAGTATGAGAGAGATGCAGACAGACAGGTAGACAGACTCAGAATTATCCTTTGGAAGAGGTGACCTCTGTCCACTGAGCACAAAAGAAGCATAAACTCTCAACTTAGTGTGCCTAGGTTAAATGGCAGGAATGCTTCCCATCCTTCCAGCTGAATTGAAGAAGTCAGAGTTTTCACAAGTCTTTTTTAAAATGCTCTTCTTCTGGGGGCACAATGGTATAAATATCTTACTTTATGTCTAGGAAACTGGCTTGGACTTATTGGGAAAAGATAGGCTTGCAGTGGGAGAAAGAGAATGAAGAAGATCTGAAGGATAAGATGGATTTTAGTGTTTCACCATCTCATTATCCCAAAGGAGGTAAGTGTTGCACTGAAAATGGTTTTTCCTTCTTGAATAATCCCGGAGAGCTGCAGTGCAGTAACGACAGGGTAGCAAGATTACAAGATGTGATATTAGTTAACATATAGGCTAGCATACATATATATATATAAAAAAATAGAATTT